CAAACCCCACTACATACATATATATGGGGTGGTACAAAGTCCAAATCGGTTTTACAGTGAAAAATACAGGAACTTCAAACCGGCACTAGGAAACAGACTGAGAACACAGAGTAAGTGTTTCCTCTGCAACCCGTTCCCTTTGTGCTGGATGAAGGAACGTCTCTCCACATGCTCAGTTCTGAGAGAGAAGTGTGTGTGAAAGCCATTCTTCATATAGTTTGTTGGGAACAAATAGATTCTTTCCAATTTGAAATTCCAATGCATAAATATATATGTGTGGTTCAAGCTCCAACTCGGTTTATAGTGAAAAATACAGGAACTTCAAACCGGCAAAAGGAAATAAAACTGACAAACCAGGGAAAGTGTTTACCCTGCAACGCGTTCCCTTTGTGCGAGATGAACCAACGTCTCTCCACATGCTCAGTTTAGAGAGATAAGTGTGTGTGAAAGACGTCTCTCAACTAGCTTGTTGGGAACAAAAAATTTCTTATCTTTTGTAAACACCACTACATACATTTATATGGGGATGTACACTCTCCAAATCTGTGTTACAGTGAAACTTACAGGAAATTCAATACGGCTCTAGGAAACTGACTGAGAAACCAGAGAAAGTATTTTTACTGCAACCCGTTCCATTTGTGCTAGATGAACGAAAGTTTTTGACACGGTCAGTTCTGAGTGATGCGTGCGTGTGAAAGCCGTCCTAAACCTAGCTTGTTGGGAGCACAAAGTTTCTTTTCAGTTGCAAACTCCACTACATACATATATATGGGGTGGTTAAAGTTCCAAAGCAATTTTACAGTGAAATATGATGGAACTTGTAACCGGGCACTAGGAAATAGACTGAGAAAGCAGAGTAAGTGTTTTATTGTAACACGTTCCCTTTGTGCTAGATGAACGAATTGTCTCTCCACATTCTCATTTCTGAGAGATAAGTGTGGGAGAAAGCCTTCCTTCACCTAGCTAGTTTCAAACACAAAGTTTCTTTCCAGTTGCCAACTCCAAACATGCATATATAAGGGTAGGTAGAAGTTCCAGATCAGTTTACAGTGAAAACTACAGGAACTTCAAACCGGCAATAAGAAACAGCCTGAGAAACCAGCGTAAGTGTTTCTCCTGCAACCCGTTCCCTTTGTGCTGGATGAAGGAACGTCTCTCCACATGCTCAGTTCTGAGAGAGAATTGTGTGTGAAAGCCTCCCTTCTCCTAGCTATTTGGGAACACAGAGATTCTTTACAGTTGCAAACTCCACTAAATAATTATATAAGGGGATGTACAATCTCGAACAAGCTTTTACACTGAAAAGTGCAGGAAATTCAAACTGGTACTTGGAAACATTCTGAGAAAACAGAGTAAGTGTTTCTCCTGAAAACCGTTCCGTTTGAGCTAGATGAACGAACGTCTCTCCACATGCTCAGTTCTGAGAGATAATATTGTGTGAAAGCCGTCCTTCACCTAGCTTCTTGGGAGCACAAAGTTTCTTTTCAATTGCAAAGTACACTACATACATATTTATAGAGAAGTGGTAGCTCAAACACGGATTTACAGTGAAAACTGCAGGAACTTCAAACAGGCACTAGGAAATAGACTGAGAAACAAGAGTAAGTGTTTAACGGCAACCTGTTCACTTTGTGCTACATGAACGAAAGTCTGTCCACAAGTTCAGGTATGAGAGAAAAGTGTGTATGAAAGCCGTCCTTCACCTACCTTGTTTGGAACACATAGTTTCTTTTCAGGTGCAAACTCGATACATACATTTATAATGGAATGTACAAGTTCAAGCTCGGTTTTATAGCGAAAAATGTAGGAAAATCACACCGGTACTAGGAAACAGCCTGAGAAACCAGAGTGTTTCTCTTGCAACCCGTTCCCTCTGTGCAATATGAACGAAATTCTGTCCACATGCTCATTTCTGAGAGATAAATGTGTGTGAAAGCCTTACTTCACCTAGCTTTGTGGGAACACAAAGAGTCTTTTCAGTTGCAATTTCCACTATTTACATATATATGGGGAGGTACAAGCTCCAACCCGGTTTTACGGTGAAAAATGCAGGTTCATCTAGCCGGCACTAGGAAACCGACTGAGAAACCAGAGACATTGTTTGAACTGCAAACATTTCCATTTGTACTAGATTAACGAACGTGTCTCCACATGATCAGTTCTGAGAGATAAATGTGTGTGAAAGCTTTCCTTCACCTAGCTTGTTGGGAACACATAGATTCTTTTCAGTTGCAAACTCCACTCCATACATATATATGGGGAGGTAAAATTCCAACTCGGTTTTACAGTGAAAACTGCAGGAACTTCAAAACGGCACTAGGAATTAGACTGAGAAACCAGAGTAAGTGCTTAACTGCAACCCGTTCCTTTGTGCTACATGAATGAACGTCTCTCCACATGCTCAGTTCTGAGAGATAAGTGTGTGTGAAAGCCGTCCTTCAACTAGCTTCTTGGGAACACAAAGTTTCTTTTCAGTTGCAAAATCCACTACATATATATATATGGGAAGGTTCAAGTTCCAACTCGATTTTTCAGTGAAAACTGCATGAAATTCCAACCGGTCCTAGGAATTAGAATGGGAATCCAGAGTAATTATTTCCTTTTCAACACATTCCCTTTGTGCTGGATGAACGAACGTCTCTCCGCATGCTCAGTTCTGAGAGATAATTGTGTGTGAACGCCGTCCTTCACCTAGCTTGTTGGGATCACAAAGATTCTTTCAGTTGCAAACCCCACTACATACATATATATGGGTAGGTACAAGTTGAACTAGGTTTTACACTGAAAACTGCAGGAACTTCAAATTGGTACTAGGAATCAGACTGAGAACCCCGAGTAAGTGTTTCTCCTGCAACACTTTCCCTTTGTGCTAGATGAAGGAAATTCTCTCCACATGCTCAGTTCTGAGAGATAAGTGTGTGTGAAAGCCGTCCTTCACTTAGCTTGTTGGGAACACAAAGATTCTTTTCAGTTGCAATCTCCACTACATACTTATATATGTGGATTTACGAGCTCCAACTCCGTTTTACAGTGAAAACTTCAGGAACTTCAAATCGGCCGTATGATACAGAATGAAAAACCAGAGTAATTGTTTCTCCTACAATCCTGTCTCTTTGTGCCAAATGAAATGTCATCTCTCCACATGCGCATTTCTGAGAGATAAGTGTGTGTGAAAGCCGTCCTTCACCTAGCTTGTTGGGAACACCACCTTTCTTTTCGGTTGAAAGGTACACATGTGGAGAGACTTTCGTTCATCTAGCACAATGGAAACGTGTTTCTGGAGGAACCCTCACCCTTTTTTCTCAGTCTGTTTCTTAGTGCCGTTTTTAATTTCCTGCAATTTTCAGTGTAAAACAGATTTGGAGCTTGTACCTCCCCATTTATCTATTTGTACTGTAGTTTCCAGCTGAAAAGCATCTTTGCATTCCCAAAAAGATGGGTGATTGTCGGTTTTCACACACACTTCTCTCTAATAATTGAGCATGTGTAGTGTCTTTCGTGTATCTAGCATTAAGTGGATGGGTGGCAGTTATAACACTTACTCTTGTTTCTCATTATGTTTCCTAGAGCCACTTAGACGTTCATGCATTTTTCACTGTTAAGTCGAGTTTGAGCTATTACCTCCCAGTATATATGTATATATTTTATTCCAGTAGAAAAAACCTATGTGTTCACAACAAGCTAGGTGATTCACGGATTTCACACAAACTTTATTCTCAGAGTTCAGCATGTGGACAGACGTCCATTCATCTAGCAGAAAGTGAATGGGTTGCAGTAGGTACACTTACTCTGGTTTCTCAGTATGTTTTTTAGTGTCTGTTTGAAGTTCATGCAATTTTCACTGTACAACCGTGTTGAGCTATTACCCCCATATATATGTATGTAGATTGTTTTCTCACTGAATGAAACTCTGTGTTCCCTTCAAGCTTGTTTATTGATGGCTTCCACACAGTCTTAACTCTCAGTACTGAGCAAATTGAGAGACGTTTGTTCTTATAGCATAAAGAGAATAGGTACCACTAGAATCTCATACTCTGTTTTCACAGTATTTTTAATATTTTCGGTTTGAACTTCATGATGTTTTCACTGTAAAACCTAGTTGGAAACTGTACCTGCCGATGCATATTTATGTAGTGTGTTCCTCACTGTAAACAAACCATGTAATCCCGAGAAGATTTGTGATTTTCCGCTTTCACACACATTCAATTTTTGAAACTGAGTATATGAGGATGGATTAGTTCATCTACCCTAAACAGAATGGATTGCTGTAGATACACTTACTGTGGGGTCTGATTATGTTTCCTAATTCCGGTTTGAAATTGATGCATTTTTCTCTGTAAAACCGAGTTGGAGCTAGTACCATCCCATATATATATATACAGTGTAGTTTCCTGCTCAATAAAACTTTGTTTTCCCAACAAGCTAGGTAATAGATGGCTTTTACACTGACCTAAATCTCAGAATTTAGCATGTGGAGAGATTTTCGTTCGTCTAACCTAAAAGGAATGGTTTGCAATAGAAACGCTAACTTGGGTTCTCAGTAGGTTTCCTAGTGCCTGTTTGAATTTCATGCAGTTTTCACTGTAAACCGAGTTGGAAATATTACCTCCCCATATATATTTATATAGTATAGTTTTCCAGTGTAAAGAAAGTGTGTGTTCCAAACAAGCTAGCTGGTTGACGGCTTTCACACACACTTAACTCTCAGAATTGAGCATGTGGAGAGACGTTCGTTCATCCAGCACAAAGGGAACGGGTTGCAGGAGAAACCCTTACTCTGGTTTCTCAGTC